TCACTAAGCCCTCGGGCTTACAGTGTTCAGTTTATTGTTTCAGTTATTTCAGGGGTTCATGGCAAGGCGAAGGCGTGACCGTACCGCTCCTCATCCTTATGACCTGACTTTTGGGACACTCTGATTGAATAATGAATTGAAAACACTTTTGTAAACAATTGCTATTTGGTTTTATTTATGCTTGAAAAGTTTAAATTTGGCGTAAAATTTATGGATGTTACAAGTCGAATCAGAACCCGATGCAGGTTCAGAGTCAGAGCTGTGATCAGAGTCTGAGGCAGCAGGAGAGGAGTATGAGGCAGACGCGGTAGAAGCATGATCGGGTTGGGGGGGGGGGGCTCGACTGGTGATGGCTGCATGGGAGGATCATCGCATACAGTACAAGCAGTTGGAGGCGAGGCCGATGGAGCGGGGTTCGAGACAGCGGTGGGCACGGACACACCCGGAAAATCATCCAAAAATGAGTGAAGTGGTAAATCAACCATTGCGGTATTTGTGGCAGTGGTGTCAAAAGGAAAACACAACTCATCAAACCGAGCATGGCGTCTGATGTAAATGCGCAAGGATCTAGGATCGAGACATAAGTAACCTTTGTATTGTGAGTGATATCCAAGAAAAACGCAGGGAATGCTCCATGGAGACAGTTTATGAGCCGAATAATCCCGCAAATAAGGGTAGAACCGGCACCCAAACGGGCGAAAATTATCATAAGATGGCACCCGACCAAACAACATCTCAAAAGGAGAACGATAGCCAAGAACTTTCGAAGGCAAGCGATTAACAATATACACCATGGTGCTAAAGGCATGAACCCAATAAGAGGTGGGTATGTGACCATGAAACATCATAGCAAGGCCCGTTTCAACTATATGTCGATGCTTTCGTTCAGCTCGTCCGTTTTGTTGTGGGGTGTACGGACACGAAATCTGATGAAAAATGCCATGCGAGTTTAATAAGCCTTTCACACGATTGTTTAAAAATTTCGTACCCCCATCACTTTGAAAAACTTTAAGATTGGTGGAAAATTGATTTTCCACAAAAGTGAGAAATGAGACGAAAACATCATAAAATTCTGATTTGTTCTTGAGTGGATACAACCATGTAAAGCGCGAATAATCGTCCACAAAAAAGACATAGTAGCGATATGAATTAACCGACGAAACGGGTGACGGTCCCCATTGATCACAATGCACCAAATCCAATATATGTAAAGCACGTTTATTATTATTAGAAAATGGCAAGCGACGAGACTTAGCAAGCTCACAAGGAGAGCAAATATTCAGTTTTGGCAACACACTAGAAACAAATAAAAGTCCAAGTTTATTTAACATAGAAATAGTGTCAAAAGACACATGTCCCAATATGGAGTGCCAAAGTTCAAAAAAGGCACGCGGCTTGGATCCGGCAAAAAACACATAAGCTTTAGGAGAAGTGGCGAGAACATAGAGCCCACGATCATATTTTCCTTGTGCTAGGACCTGCTTCGTTGTTCGATCCTGAATAAAAAACGAATAAGCAGAGAAACGAACATCCACATGATTGTCACGTGTTAGTTTACTAATGGATAATAAATTTTTGGTGAGACGGGGAACCACCAAAACATCCTGCAAGTGAATACCATTAGTAATTTTGGACGAACCAATAGAAGAGATTCTGAGTGTATTACCATTTCCAAATTGGACCGAAGAGTCACCACTATACGAATCGACATTAGACACCGATCCGGTGGAAGACACCATGTGATCGGAGGCGCCAGAATCAACAAACCAATCCGGGCCGGAAAGAGTAACTTGACACTTGGCTAAAAAATCTTTGGCGAGATCAACATCATGCACGGGTGAAGGGGACGCAAAAGATGGAAGTTGAGGGCACTGGTTCGCATAGTGGCCATTTTGGCGACAAAGTTGACAATGAGGCGGCCGGCGTCCACGACCGCGACCACCACCAAATGAGCGACCACCCAGACCCCAACCACGATTCGAACCCGAGGAGGGAGTGGTGCCGGCAGAAAAAGCAACCGAGGGAGTGGTGTCGCCGTGAGTGGATTTGAGAAAAAATTCATGACCCTTGGCCCTAGCCAACAAGTCGCGAAACCCAACAACAGCCCCGGAGGCACGAATGGCGGTGGAAAAATTCTCAAACGAGGTACCGAGACCGCAAAGAAACCAATGAGTTTTGTCGGTTTCCTCCACCCCTTGACCAATGGCGGCAAGTTGATCACAAACGGACTTGAATTTACGACCAAATTCTGAAACAATGGAGGAACCCTTGGTAAGATGGCGTAGTTGATCACAGAGATTTTGGGCACGCTCTAAGGAGGAGTTGTCGTAAGCGGCTTCAAGGGCTACCCAAATGTCACGAGCTGTTGAGAGGCCCACTATCTCAGAAAAAGCTTCTTCTGTGAGAGAAGCTTGAAGAAGAATAATAGCCCTTTGATCGGTGGAGACCCACTCTGCCGAGGCCGAATTCAAGGTCAGCTTGTTATCAACCATAATGTAGGGCGACGGGGATGGAACGGAGCCGTCAACATGACCAAGAAGTTGCTGGTATTGTAAGAGATGGATCAGTTGATTCTTCCACAAAAGGTAATTTGATGAAGAAAGGCGAATGATGATGAGATGCAAGAGGGTGTTCATGGAGAGAAAGGAAGCATTGGAGTCAGCCATGCTGATGAAGTTGAAAGGTGAGGAAAGCTGATGGGTGGGAGAGGAAGAAGAAAGGAGGGACGGTTTTAGAGGGAGGGAAAAAGAATGTTGGGAGTTACAAGGCTTGATACCATGTGAAGATTAAAGAAAACTCTTGTGTCAATACAGGAGAGTTGAGTTACCTAAAATATATAGGAAAATAAATTACATGTACACCCCTCTAACTAACCCCTCTAACTAATGAATAAATACATAATAGTACAACAACTATATTTGTGTAATATGAACCAAAACAAAACTTTTTTTCCTTAACATAATTCTCGACGCACTGGAACTAAAGTTTACCGTTAACCGCCCCGAAAACTCATATTGAGTACAATACCATCACAAATCTGTTCCCCAATAACCACTGCCAAAGTAACGGAAACTGCCACACAACCATGTATTCGCCATACATCTATCTCGCTCGGATTTTGATTTGGAAATCAACGCAACATGGCATCATACCTCCTATCAAGGAAGCGCCCTAACTTTCTGAATTCCTAACGCTTCACTGGTAAAACGAAGATGGTGCCTGAAAGCTTGGCTCCTCGCCGGAGTTTCCCACAGCTGACACCCGGCCACCTCTATTTCTGCGTCGGTTATCTCACTTTCTCTTTCTCACTCGTGGTAAACATCGATGGTGAAACAGCCCAAGAACACAATTGAAACATTATTGCTTCGTATGTATAGGCCAAACCCACCAAAGCAAAAGAAACGGATATCATTTACGTAGCCTTAACGATTTAACGTTTTGAATCCCAAATTACAACCTTAACCCTCAATCTTTGCTTCTTTTTCATATTCTACCTTTTACTTTTGTTTGAATTAATTTTAACCTTCACTTATAATAAACATTTTGTTTATATAATTTAATTTAATTATACACTTTATAAATATCGACTAATACTTTTAAATATTACTAGCACCATTTTATTTAATTTATTTCATTTCATAATCATAAAAAAAAAGCTGAATTCGTTATAGATATTCGAGTAACGGAAGACTAACATCGTTAATAGACGAATTTTTGGGTCGTTACACATTGACCCTCGTAATGTTTGTTTCTACAAACTTTGGGATAAGATCATAAAGGTATTTACATCTCCATCATTTTACATGGTTGTTTTTTGTGTGATTAATTCAAAACTTGTTTTCTAGTGGTGATGTTTTATCATATATATGTAGGAATGTGAGGAGACGATGAGTAAGAGAATATCAGGTTCTACAGATGGGTTTGATCTTCAAGGCAGATGCTTAGGTGGCTTCTCTCATCAACCTCCTCTCCCATCTCTCAGGCGGACCACACTTGCTGCTACAGAAAACAGAGCACACCATGGACCATCAGGTCCTGAACGTGTTGGAGGTAGTAAATCTATTATGTTTTCCCTAACCCCTACACAAGCTACTGTAATGGCTGTAGAAAGGATCAGAAAAGAGGTCCTCATTCAGAATCATGCTTTTTTTATTTGACATCATCACCTAAAAGTAATAAGCAAAGTCGCCATGAATATGATGATCTTGAGAAAACTTGTATTGATTTAACGATCAGTGCCTCTACCGGAGGATGAGATAATGATATCCATGAGCCTTCCTCTGGGTGGGATTGCATGATGTGCACATTGCTGAATTCGGTAATAACTATTTTAAATCCTTCTTGTTGAGTTTTTGCATTAATCTGTTATATATACAAGACATGTTTGATTATGATTTATGATTTATGGAAGGTTTTTGCTCCGGTGTGTGAGTTATGTGGAACCCACAAACCAAAATATGTTGAAGACAACTATAAGACATGGTCATGCAAATTGTGTACACTGGAAAACAATGTGACGCTAGAGAAATATGGCGCATGTGAGCATTGAAGATATTCTTATGGCCAATCCATAGGAACCCAACACCAAATTTCGGAACTTAAAACCAAGAAACGTACACAAATTTAGAATTGGTTTTCTAATGTTTTGACAAGCAATGGACTCGAAGAATATGATGTTTAACTAGTTCTGTTCAGAACATGTAAAGAGAACAAACATCTATCTCTTGATGCTAATTTCATTTTGATGTTTCATATCTTAATTATCTTTTGGGTTGTTGTTGACTGTTGACTGTTGTATTCTCATACCATTATGCTCGGGTCTCTCTTCATTCACCAATTTAAATCACGACACAGCCACAACCACATGCACTCTCATTCATTAATTCTTCAGTGCAATGTATGCCTTCCCGATTCTTAATCTCATGACTCATGAGAATTAGATATGCTTCGCCACTTCTTGAGCTCTGATTCTCTTCTAATCTTGTACTCGTATAGATAGATTAAAGTCTCAACCACTCATGTCCACCAATGAAGTTTGTATCAAGAAATGGCATTGCTTCTACATGTGCCAATGACTTGGACCATGATACCCGATTCTTTCTGTCTGCACCTTTTCCTCTGCACTCATATTCTCCAAACACAGCCGTCCTATGAACACAAATAAATCCATCAACATTCAAATAAATTACTTTGTTTTCTCTCTCTCTCTCTCTCTCTCTCTCTCTCTCTCTCTCTCTCTCTATATATATATATATATATATATATATATATATATATATATATATATATATATATATATATATATATATAACAATGATAATGAAACCATGGGAGGAATGGATTGATGGATACCTTTGTCTCCATGGGTGGTTCCAGTCGCTCCATCCGGAAGGGTCTATGATGTTGTCGATATCACAGTAGGAGTAGACTGCCCTTGAATAATTTCCCCAAGCTCTCCCCAAATAGATTTTCCCTCCTATGCTTCCAGTTATTGAACAATTCAGAAAAGAAAATCCGGTGTCCTCTTCTTCTGATTTCCTGTGATGAGCTGCAATGGCTCCATATTTATCAGCAACAGAATGTAGATTACATTCCTGAATACATCAATCAAACCAAACCCAAATCCAAATCCATCATCAGTTAATGAATGAATGTGAGTTTCATATATATGTTTACCCACCTTGTAGAGCGATCTAGATTCGCCAAAGATGAAATCGATGGATCCTTGTATGTAACACTGGTAAAAGTAGTGAGATCCATTGGAGTCCAATAGAGTGTCTTGGGTCCCCAATATCCGTACTCTATAAAGCACTGCCTTGTCCCCTGCAAGCCTCAACGCCACTGCTTGCTGCTTATACCCTCCAGCTACTGCAACAACTGTATTCTGCATGCATTGCATTCATTGTTGATCAATATATACTACTACGTACATTAATCATCATGCATGTACGTTGTATAATACCTGAATGGTGATCCCCGACGCACAAAAGTAATCAGACTGTACATCAACAGAAGCGGTTCTATACGTTCCGAGTTCCGAACCATCTTTGTATTTGTCAGAGGCTTTGTCATTCCAACTCAATATCGTTTCTGAAGCCTTCTTTTCATCTCCGATGAAAGAGATATATGGTTTGGAAGGTGGAACAATCACTTTTTCTCTGCACCATATCTCCATGACATGATATTCACTTGAGAGATCCATAAATTAACAATGAATGAATTAATCTCACTTAATTTGCACATATGCTTGTATAATACCTACCTGTAAGTACCAGGAAGAATGTAGATCTTAACCCTGATGGAATTATTGAAAGGGACCATATCAACAGCAGCTTGTACAGTAAGGGCATGACCCCTACCCTTTTGATCAACCACGATCACTTTACTCCCATTCCCATCCCCAAAACTTAAGCTCTCTATTTCCTTGTAGTGATAGTATTCCTCTATCTTGATATCGTCCCAAGTGATATAAGCACTCTTCACTTGATTAACACCATAAATCAGGAATGAGAAACCAACCAAAATGCCAAAACCATTGAAACCCATGGTGATTAATGATTTCGGGATCGATCGAGTATGTGATAACTGGGTTGGGCACTATCCAAATCAAAAACTACACGTTACAAGAGAGAGATAGAGAGGGAGAGAGGGAGGGAGATATAGGTTAATTAATTATAGGAGGAGTCGTTGTATGTATGTATGCATGGAATATGGTTGTTCGGATTTAAAAGGAATGCAAGAAACAAGATTAGTTGGTGTGTTCTTCTTACATGTCAATTAGATTAAGATTGTATTCTTGTGGTGTATGGATGTCTGTAAGTATATAGATAGAGAGATCGAAAAAAAATAACAAACAAACAAAGGTGAGTTGTTGAGGAGTAGTTATGGAAGTAGAAAAGGTAAATTAAGTTTATTAACTATAGTTGTGGGTTGCTGAAGAAGCTCATAGAATTTGATTATCCATCTCGATCCTTCTTCTTATTGTTGTTGTTAGTAGGAATGCATGAGGGTGGTTTATTTAGTAATTATAGAAATGGAAAATGGGATTCCAAGGATGTAGGGACCAAGGACGGTGCATAGGTATTTCATGATGTGGGCAAAAAAACTTAACAATGCCCTCGTATTTCTACCGAACCCATTTACAACGTAAAGTAATAAAAAAACATTTTTATGTAAAAATTCCATATACATAAAAACTAAAACTTGCTAACGTAACAAAAAATGGCGTCTTGGTATATTCTTTTATGCAAAAATATCAATTATCACTAACCATTCAATATTTCTTGAATTCATTTAGTTTGCATGTATAACCTCATAATTTTTTCATTTTAAAAACTTCTTTGTGACAAATATGGAATGGATGGAGAAAGGTTTGGATTTCAACTATTAGATTTGTTTCTAGCAACAACATGTGAATTTTTGGAGAAAGACAAAGAGCCTACTCTAATAAACATAAACAAAAATCAACTCTAAATCACATAGATTATCATTAAAATACTCTAATAAACAATGTAAAAACTGTTAACAAATTATGGTTTTATTAAGACAAAAATTAGCAAAAATCCATTAATAACATCTAAAAACTTTAATCCTATTCAAACAAACTCAAAACAAACAAATCTTTAATGACCGGTTGAACACTCAAACTATATTAACTAGTGTTGGTTCAATATGAGAGCAATTAGAAAAATCATTTAATTACTCAAACAATCTGATTGTTTCTTATTTTATGAAGACAGATTAAATAATTATAAATTATAAGGCAACAACAAAATTTGTACCTAAATTTATACAAGAAAATAATTTTTTAGCGATTGGAAAACTTCTTTAAAATGATAGAAAACAATTACTTCACAATATTAACATATCACATATCAAACATCCTATTAGTCAAATACTTGTTCGACTTGGTTATGTTCGAGGAATGATCCATACACCGCACACTCTTCGAGCAATGCCTCATACACCACACACATGCCATAACTTCAATGAAGGGGAGAACCACAAAAAATTAGATTTTGCTTACTGAGATTCAGAAATTACCTAAGGAAACCATAGAAGTAACAAGCAAAAGATTAGAGATGAAACTTAAAAGAGATTACATATTAAATACAAAGTAAAGACGAGATCATATTGCGATTTTAATAGTTGAATCTTTGATTAATTCCTGCTCGAAGTCTTCTACCTAATTTTTGCGAACCTCCTCACCCTCCATCTCTTCCCACGTATCCTCCCAGCCCTCAATTATCGAACTCGTATGCCCCCTCTCTTGACTTAAACGTGGCTGCAAAATCTTCATCTTTTGTTGATGTGGATGAATGCTCTTCATCCAACGAGATTGGGAAACTCATACAGGTAGGCAATGATGTGGGATTCTAGATTACTGTTGAAAATGTTCGCATCTTGGATGAAAATGACCGCAATGTGGTCGAAGGAGCTGGGGTTACAAGCAGTATTCAATGAACGCCCTAAGTCTAAACATAAGGGGGATAGGTGAATCCTATAAGGTGGAATAGATTAGAAAGCTCAAGCATGTGCATCAGATTGATTTTATTGGGATTCAAGAAACAAGAGTCATGGACTATAATGGAATCGATTTTGCTGGTTGCTGGGGGTCTACACATTTTGACTTTGATGCAATAAATCCTACTGGTAGATCGGGTGGTCTAGCTTGCATCTGGGATCCATATATTTTTTCTAAACTCAACAGTATTAGAACAAGGAACTACATCGCGATCTCTGGTCATTGGAAAGGTGTACCAGGTGTGACTACATTGGTGAACGTTTATGGACCTCAATCCACCACAGAGAAACGAGCACTTTGGTCTGAACTCACATCCGAGAAAAATGGGAATGCAGGCACTTGGATCTTTCTAGGTGATTTTAATGTAGTCAGATTTGCGCATGAAAGGTTCAACTCCGTTTTTTGCAGATTATCAGCTAGAGATTTCAATCGATTCATCGTTGATGCAGGCTTGCATTAATTCAATATGGGAGGTTTGAAATTCACGTATATACGTGATGATGGCCACAAATTGAGTAAAATTGATCGATTCCTTGTTTGTTCAAACTTCATTAATTTACAACTGCTCACTTGCGTCACTACATTGTCTCGGGAATATTCTGATCACTTTCCCCTTATTCTAAAACCTTCACCCGGTTATTTTGGGCCACCCCCGTTCCGAATATTTAACTCTTGGTTGCTAAATGACGAGTTCAATGTGTTGTTCAAAAGTTCATGGGAATCCTTTCAGGGTTTTGGCACTCCGGATCGTCTCCTCGCTGCAAAGCTCAAATTCGTTAAAAATGTCATTAGAGGTTGGAGCAAGCAAAAATTTAGTAATGAACATTCAACTTTATTTCAGCTTAAAAGGAAGGTGGAAATCTTGGACTCGATTGCTGAATCCCGGGTACTTAATGATGTAGAACGATTGTCAAGGCAGGAAGATATGCATAAAATTATGGAGCTTGAGCGGTGTGTGAAACTTGATCTTTAACAGAAAGCCAAAATCAAATGGGTCATTGATGGTGATGAAAGTTCTCTGTTCTTTCACGCCAGTCTCAAACATAAGAAACGAAAAAATAGAATTCATGGCCTCAACATAAATGGTGAATGGAACACAGATCCGCTGACAATTAAATCTGAAAATTTCATCTTCTTTGATGACAAATTTCGTGAGCGTTGGCCTATCAGACCAAAGTTCCTTAACAATAATTTTAAGCGAATTTATTTAGCCCAATCCTCCTTTCTTGAATCGGAGTTCTCTATTGAAGAGATCAAATCTGTTGTCTAGCATTGTGGTGGGGATAAGGCACCTGGACCTGATGGGTACACCTTCAATATCCTAAAAGCAAATTGGGATTGGATTGGGGAGGATATAATTCGTTTTGTCAAATACTTCGAATCCACAGGATCTCTTGCTAAAGGTTATAACTCATCAAACATCACTCTTATCCCAAAGGTGTCTGATCCATTAACCCTCAGTGATTACCGCCCCATCAGTCTTATAGGTTGCATGTATAAAGTGGTGGCAAAGTTATTTGCAAACCGATTAAAACAAGTAATCGGGTCAATGGTGGATAATGTACAGTCGGCTTACATTCAAGACAGACACATACTCGATGGACCTCTGGTGATGAATGAATTGGTTTCATAGGCAAAGCAGCAAAAGAAAAAATTGTTTCTATTCAAGGTCGATTTTGAAAAAGCTTTTGATTGAATTAACTGGGGATATTTGGACTGTGTAATGGATCAAATGAATTTCGGGTGTAAATGGAGAAAATGGATTTCAAGTTGTATATCTTCTGCAAAAGCTTCTATCTTGGTAAATGGCACACCAACCGATGAATTTCAAATATCTAGAGGGGTCGTCAAGGTGATCCTCTGTCACCGTTCCTCTTTATCTTGGTCATGGAGGGACTGAATATCGCTATAAAGAGTGCATGTGAAAAATCACTACTGCGTGGGGTCAAACTACCTAGAGATGGCCCTTCAGTTTCACACCTTTTCTATGCTGATGATGCGATATTCGCTGGGGAATGGGACTGTAATTGCATGAAAAACTTATCTCGTATCCTGAAATGTTTTCATATTTATTCAGGGCTAAAAGTTAACTTCTTCAAATCATGTTTATTTGGTGTGGGAGTAACAAAGGCAACATTGTATGATACTGCTCACGTTCTTGGTTGTTTACATGGAGAATTTCCATTTTCTTATCTGGGGGTCCCGGTTGGTGCCAACATGGCTCTAAAGAAGAACTGGAAGCCTGTTCTAGATAAAATCTCATCTAAATTATCAAGTTGGAAGCCACTTCGTTGTAGTTTGGTGGCCGCCTCACCCTCATTAAATCTGTCTTGGACAGCCTCCCTACATATTACATGTCCCTCTTTAAATCTCCATTGGGAATCATTGAGCAAATTGATAAGATCAGAAGGAGATTCTTATGGGGAGGCAGTGAGCTTAAAAAGAAAATTCACTGGGTTGACTGGTCTAAAGTTATTGCGCTAAAATCGGAAGGGGGTTTAGGTGTTAGTTCGCTATTCGCTCAAAACATTGCCCTGTTAATCAAATGGTGGTGGAGAATTAAGAATGACAAAAGAAGTTTATGGAAATGTGTTATCGTGAGCATCCACAACTTGTACAACAAACCGACATCGTACATCGCAATAAAAACATCAAATGGAGTTTGGTGTAATATTTCCAAGGCTGTTAGAGCTCTTGATAGTCTGCATATTGATTGCAAGAATATTTTTGCCCTTATCCCAGGTTCGAATGTCAACATCTTATTCTGGAAAGATTCTTGGTGCAGTAACATTCCATTTCACCTCAAATTCCCTCACTTATATTCAATCGAAACAGTTAAAAACTGTTTATTGGGAGATATAGTTTCTAGCAATGGCTTTTCATGGATGTGGAGATTTGAACCAACTGGTTCAGAAGAATTAAACGAACTGCTACAACTATATACGGATATTGGTAACCTGAATACCGAGCAAAAATCCAAATTTGGGTTCAGTTTTCTCTTAATCCTGGTGGTGAATATACT